TTATCCCCTTGGATAATCAGTTCTTCTTCCAGATTCTTTTTTTATTTCTTGATGCTTTCCATTCTTAAGCGAGCCCTCTTCCATGTTTTGTGTGGGTGGGTGCATACGTGCGTCCATGTGTGTGAGAGCATGTGTGCGTGTGTGTGTTCTGATCTCTCCATGCTTCTTCTCTCTGCTTACCACCTTCCCCTGCACGACTCCTTTTCTCGCTGGATGTGGTATGCTTTAGGTGATGAGGAACTCGAGGTTCAAAATTATAGACATCACCAGGGCTACACTGTACCGTCCGGATGCACACTTGCAGAAGTACGGGGAGGAGTCAGAGGATTGCTCTCATTGGTGCGTTCCGGGCGTGCCCGACTCATGGGCTGACATTGTGTATTCCTATGTGACTGGCTCACTAGCGTGAAGGATGCAGCATGTTTGATAATCTAACTCAGGAAGTCATACCTCATGATTTGCCTGAGATGATGATTAGAGTTGGATACTGGCTACGTTTTATAGTGAGCATTAATTGTGAGTGTAGCAGAAACTATGTTTTAGCTCTTTGTCTTTGTGTGGGTATCGAATTACAAGAGCCCGATAGATGATTTGAACCCCCGATAGTGGCCAGGAACCAGGATCACCTGTAGCGCGGCTTGACGAATTACCGAGCGCGGTTCGTCACACATTTTCAAATGCCAGAAGTGCGCGAGGTGTCGAAACCAGGGGAAGCTGTTTTCTCACACTATGCACGGCACGCAGAACACGTAGTAACTGAACACACAAAAAAGAGGCTGTCCTTGTGATCTTTTTCCCTCAGTGCCTTTTATGCCGCACCAATCGCACGCGAACACTTAACGGCTGTGCTGGTCCAACATAGACCTTAGGACTCATATGTTCTACGTCCAGGTTCACTTTCCAAATCATAGGCTAGGCTAGAGCAAGTAGTCTCTGGTTGTCGAGAAGCTGGACCAATGCCGAACCGCCAGCTGGCAGCGATGCAGCTACGTTGGCCTGTGTTGCACGTTCGGAAGGCTCCGGTCGCATCGCCTTCAAGGAGGAGAGCACTGGTTCCGCTTCTGGCGCTGCTGGTGCTGGAAGCGGCACTTGCGGCGCCCGCCGCGGCTACGGATAACGGGACGCTTTGCGACATCACCGCTGGCGAGTAGGTTGCGGTCTATCGTTCCGCCTGAAATCCTGTGGTCTATTTTTATTTCGAGAAGCCTCAAGAGTTGTTGAGCCTCAGGCGCCGCAGTAATTTCTGTACATTCTTACGTTGCGCGAACGATAGGTTAGCGGTGTGGGTATGTTGCCGTCATTGGCGCCAGGGAAAAACATCTGCCCCCGCAATTGGCAGTAACCAATGTGCCGTTGTTGGGGAATCGGGTAAAAAATTAATGCGCAAAGCAACGAAGCTAACTGTGTTTGCATTTCTCGTGTGAATTACTAGTAGCGTCGCTTTTGAGAATTCTCAATAGCGTCGTCGCGTGGGTTTCACATCCCTCGTGTTTCATCTGTTCCTCGGTGTGCAATGCAATAACGCTCTCGAGACTCTCGTCTGCATTAGCGCTCCCTACGTCGTTTAGATCTCTCTTTCCGCCGGTACTGTGTGCGTCACCTTCTCATCTTCTCATTTCGATCGCACGATATGTAATAGGGTTGTCTAGTAGTGTCTCGTGAGACTTCTTAAAGCGTGCTGGAATGTTGTGCATTTCATTCCAAATTCTTATGAGAAGTAGGTGCCTCAAGTCCGCTGCTCGTGTTCGCCGTCCCCTCTTGCCGTCGTTTCTTAACGTCAGTTATAACCGTCCCGTCTTTCCGCCCCCTCTTTCTGCCTCCCTTCGTCGTTCCCATCTTACCGTCCGTTCTAGCTATCCCGTCGTTCAACCTTCCCTTTCCGTCTCCTTTTTTGCCGTTCCCATCTTACTGTCCCCTCTCACCGTCCCGTCTTTCCGCCTCCTCTTTCTGTTTCCCTTTCCCGTTCCCATCGTACCGTCCGCTCTCACCATCCCGTCGTTCCATCTCCCCTCTCTGTCTCCCCTTGTCCTTCCATCTTTCCGCCCCCTGTTTCCGTCCCCCCTTGCCGTCCCGTCGATCCGTCCCCTCTTGCCATCCCCCTTCTCGTCCCTTCGAACCGCCTCCTATTGCCATCTGCTTTGCCGTCCCTCTTCCCATGCACTATTTCTATCCCCTCTTCCCGTCTCCGATTCGCGCCCCCTGTTGGTGTCCCTTATTGCCGTCCCTTATTGCCGTCCCTTATAGCCGTAACCTATTGCCACCTGCCGTTCCCTATTGCCGTCCCGTCCCCTCTTACCCTCCTCGCTTGCCGTCCCTTCGTGCCCTCCTGCCGCTCCCTCTTGCCCGCCCCCCTTGCACCCCCCCCTAAATCCTGATGTCTTTCTCGATTCAATAGTCTCTATCGGCCCTCCTCTCACTTTCCCCCTCCCTGAATCTCATCGCGCCAGATGGATCTACACCCCGCGACTCGCGCCGCAATACACGGCGGAGAGCTGCAAGAGCCTGGGACGCAACTTCGCGTGCCAGCGCAACGGGCGGCCCGACTCGGAGTACGAAAAGTACACGTGGCGCAGCTTCGGATGCACCATCGCGGAGTAAGTCCTCCCCCCTCCCCCCATGTCCGCCCTCCCCCTCATCTGCATTGCTCCCCATGTCCGCCTCCCCCCACATTGTTTTCCATGCCCTTTCCCGCGTTGCCCTCCATTGGATTGCTCCCCGTGCCTTTTCCCCCCTTTTCCGCATGCCATCCCGTATCTCTCCCCTCATTGCCTCCATGCCCTCCTCGCAATGCTCCCCACGCCCTCCCCCAGGCGTTGCCTCCTATGTGCCTTCCGCCTCCCCCTCTCCTCCCCCCGGCCCTCCTCCCCCCCCTCTTCCCGCTGACCTCCATGCACCTTACTAGTGGTGTTGGCCTTCCTAGTATGGACCTTCTCACACATTCCTCTATTTCCACCGCACTCCACCAGATTCAAGCCGCTCTCCTTCCTCACGCTGCTGCGCAACAAGGTCTTCCTGGTCGTGGGGGACTCGCTCACCATGAACCTCTTCTCCTCGCTACAGTGCCTCGTCGAGACTGTCGCAACCACGGAGGTGACCACCCGTTATAGTCACAATCACTCAAAGTGACGCCCTGTTATTGTTGCATGTCCTGTTTTCTCAAAGGTTCCCACTTCCTCCTCTTCTCCTCTTACCGTCCCCACCCACCATCATTCTCCCCTTGTAATAAACAATCTCCCCTTGGGCCTTGAATCCAACCATTACCTTTACCTTCATTTTTTCCCCTCTTCTAAACCTCCCTATCTTTCTCCCTTCCCTTCCCTCCCTCCACCTTCATCCTTCCCTCCCTCCTCCAACTCCCCTTTTTCTTCCCCAGTACAGGAACTGAAAGAGCCTCTATTCTCTGGAAGATAAAGAACCCTTGGGATCATCGTGGTGGTTTTTGAGGCGTGTAGAAAGCACTGCCCGTCACCTTCCTGGCTGCAGGAAGTGAAGGGGCCTCTGTTCCCTGGAGAACCGAAAACCCTCGGGATTTTCGTGCCTGCCTTCAATGCAAACGTGCTGCGCCACCCCTTTCCCCCTCCACTGCCCTTCCCCTTTCTGGTTGCAGGGAATGGATGGGCCTCTGTTCCCTGGAGGACCAAAGACCCGTGGGATCTTCGTGCCTGCTTTCAATGCAACCCTGCTGCGCCACCCCTCCTCGTTCCTCGCCAACTCCACTCCCGATGTATGCTGCTCCGTTCTCAATATAAGATGTTCTGTACACGATATAAGCTGCCTGCTCCATACTCGATATAAGCTGAGTCTATATGAGCCTCGAAATTCACCGCCACCCTCCTTATTGCACATGTTGTTTCAACCTGCAATCCTCTCTACCATCCTCTCTCTCTCTTGCTTCTCGCCTATGTTCCCCCCCTATTGCAAGCCATGGGAACAAGTGTGGTGCTTCCTAATTTGACCTGTTTGATTCAATCTGCATCAATTTGTGCCCTCGTCCTTTCACTCTCTCCTCTCTCCTCTCTGCTCTCTCCTTTCTCCTCTCTCCTCTCTCCCCCTCTGCTCTCTCCTTTCTCCTCTCTCCTCTCTGCTCTCTTCTCTCCTCTCCTCTCTCTGCTCTCTGCTCTCTTCTCTCTCCTCTCTGCTCTCTCCTTTCTCCTCTCTGCTCTTTCCTCTCTCCCCTCCCCTCTCTCCTCGTCCCTCTTGGTGGATCAGGGAGAGAAGTCCAGTGCAAGCACGTGGACAGTGCATCTGGATGAGGTGCATCCTGATTGGTCGCCGCTTCTACTGTACTCGCACTACGCACTGTTTGGAACTGGTGTCTGGTACACCATGGTGAGTTATGATTTTCTTTTTGTCATTCGCTGAATTATGCACTTCAATACAGAGACACTCCTTTTTTTTTCTTACCGCTATCGGATTCACCGTGGCGAGCTTTATTGTAGATATTGTGCTATTATTTTTGTTACGATCACATGCGGATGGTTGGTACGGTGCATCGCATCACCCAATACAGCCAACCTTGTTGCAACCTTCAACCCCTCCCAACACTCCACCATCCTCAAATACGCCATGCACAACCCAGTCCCTATTTGTTACCCAAACTTCTAACCGCCCTGCACAACCCAGTCCCAATATGTTACCTAGACTTTCAAGTCCTTCCTTCGCCTGCTCCCTCTCCTCCCTCCCTTCCCAAACTGCACTGCGTCCACCAGGCGGACCCCAAGAAGCGCAATTACATGATCAACAACGTTCGTCAGCCTGAAATGGACGGCATCCTTACAATGCAACTCGCTATGAACACAGTGAGGAAGTTCACTCGGAGTCTGAAGTACACCGGCATGCCCATGTTCCTGACCTTCACCCCGATGCATTACGATGTGAGGCTGAATGAGAGCATGCAGCATGCCAACTGCAGCGTCATCCAACGGCCGTTAACGTTCGAGCAAGTCGCCAATATGGAATGGGCAGTTGACGCAGTGAAGACTCGCAAGGCTCAACTTAAGGTAAGAACCAGGTGCATTCATTACAGTAGTCAATATTTTGAGAAACTACATATGAAATGAAAAAGGTACATTCTCACGTCCCATTTTTACAAAGGTTCAAATATCAAGGGATTTCATGGAGGTTTGGGTCAATGCTATTCAGTTTATATCCTCCAGTAACTTTTGTTTCATGGCAGGTATTTCGGCATGACCCGGAATTTAAAATCATAGACATCACCAACTTGGCCTTGTATCGAGCTGATGCTCATCTCCAATCCTATTTCGATGTCAAGGGAGGCATTGACTGCCTCCATTGGTGCATTCCTGGTGTACCCGACACTTGGGCCAACATAATATATTCCTATATGATGGGATATTTATAGCAGATTTCGACATTTTGTAATATGCTTTTCTATAACGCATCACCGCATCTTCAAACGGAAAGGCTCTATTGGTTGTGTTCTACATCCACATGATGATGGGATGGCAGTGGAATCTGGGTTAGCGATTTTGCAAAAGCTTTGTGTTATGCACGGCCAAATCGCATGACCACCCTTTCAGCAGCCGGATTTTCCAAATTGTTAGAAGAAAAGAAGAACTGAAGGAAGCATGTAACACTTTCCAAAATTGTGTATTGTGAATAACAATAATATTTGTACCGAAGCAAAGGCTTCGCCTAACTGCTGTTGGGCTGAGATAGCCCCTTAGGATCTTTGCAAGGGATAACTCTAGGTGAAGTAGTTGTAATAGCGGAAGCGTTTAGTGAAGAATTTGAACCGACCTTGCACTGGTGTGTGAGAGCAAAGTTGATTGAATTAAACAAGCAAATACAAGGATTTATATAAGAGTACAAGGAATAGATAGATAACTGTATTGCTGTTGCGGTTCGATATAGCGCGACTCGGGCAACTGCTCTGTAACGAGTCAGTTGTGTGTCCTTAACTGTCGCGCTGTAATTGTCGAGTCAAAGGTCAGCGACCTTTGACTTTCTCGTAACCTCCAGGCGGTTACCCTAACCTCCGAGGTTGACTCGATGCTTCGATTGGGACTGCTTCGCTTGGTACCTTGGATTTTGATACGACAGAAGCGCACTTAGGACTTATTGTTTCCAACAACTGCTTCAGTACTTCCCCTCTTTCTGGTACGAAAGTGGGGGCAATGTGTTAGAAACTGAGAATGAATGACTAGATTGAGGCATAGGGGGGTACAAATAGCAACCCATACCCTCTACAGTACAACCTAACCTAGCTTGATCGTGTACACCTATAAACGTATACGATAAGCATACATTGACGCACCCCTATGGTCAGGGAAGGGGCAATACCTAGGAGATGAGAAACAACATAGGGCAACACCACCAGTCCAGCATCCATCACCACGTTCATGCGCCGCACCTTTTGGGTTGGAGGCATTGTAGTCCAATCCCTAGGCTTGCTCCAACACTCGCGCCACCAATGCCCGAGTTTCTTGCAATACTGCCATGCTCCTTCATGAGCATGACCACGGTTGTTGTTGGCGTGTCGTCCACGTGAAGGGTTCGTGCTTCTATTTGCATGCCCACGGTCATTTTATGGCAAGGTGTAGACAACGCCTTTCCTCAAGCCACACGTGAAGTGAGCCGAACTCGTTGTATCGTCTTACAAGTGTTAAGATTGAGGAGTAGGAATGGGTGATTAGGTCAAGGAAGGGAGATACAAACAAGGTGTCGAGAAGGTTTGTCTAGCCCTAAGGCTAGCCCCTATATAGCCTAAGGAAATATAAATATATATGCTTTGATACACCCCCATTGGCTAAGTGGGGGATAGCCAGAGCAAACAATGGTCACAAGACCAGTCAAGAGAAGCAACAAAGTAAAGCTCAAGGTGGATCTCAAGGTCACCACACATTCCAAGCAGAAGCAAATGGCCACAAAGCCAGTTCACATGTAGTGTCATAATAGTACAAGCAGTACAGTGATTACAGCCTAGCATGTGTAAACATGCAGGTACAAAAATATATAGCAGAGTACAACTAGTATAGGCAAAATTAAGAGACAAGCAGGTGAGGTAGAGTGGGCACAAGCCCAAGAGCAGAGCAGAACCGCTGATGATCACCAGGCCCTACGGCCTTGGAGAAGATACCGTCACCCCCCGGATATAAGCGCCACCCTAGGATAAGCGCCTGGCGCTTCTAATTGGCATATGGCGCTTATATCCCCTCCTCGATTATAAGCGCATACCCTAGAGTCGTACGGATTATAGCCGCATACCTGTACCTTACACATTATAACCGCCACTTTTTTAAATATTTTTTTTCTACAAACTTCACCAACCATATTAACAACTTATATTTTCATCTAATTAACTACAAAGTCAGTTTATCTATAGTTTTTTCTAATTACAGTTCTAAATCTACCTACGAGTCTCACAGGCTACAGCAATTTCTAGATCTACGTAATCTAGTCATCAGCTGCGGTAGGATCATCCGGGTCGGCCTCAGAGTCCGACTCTGGTTCTTCTACGTTGTTGCAGAAAAAGCCATCAGCTGCAATGTCGACGTCGATGTCTATTTCGTCGCCCTCAAGCTCGTCGCGCCTGTGTTGCAGGCAGATCTTGTCCTGGGACCCATCCAGGGCGTTACTAATGCCACAGGTGAGGAAAGCCCGTTGAATCAAGTCCCTGGGCACGGCCTTCCAAGCCGCTGATATCCACTTGAGCGTTAGCTCGGGTGGTGGCTTCTTGATGTTGCCTGCCATAAAATTTAAACAATCAAAAGTCAGCCACCGCTACAAACTGATAAAGCAGCACATGCATGGCCTGCCTCTCTCACCTTTCTTTGTCAAGGTGTCGACCCCCTCGCTCTCGAACCACTCCTGGTAGAGCTGGCGAACGGATGCCTTGAAGGAGCGATTCACCGCGACGTCCAGAGGTTGAATCCCCGAGGTGCAGCCAGCTGGGATAACGGCAGGGACGATGTTCAGCTCCCCGAACTTCTTCTTCACCTCCGCAGTCAGGTGCCCGCGGTACGAATCCAAGACATCTGCTGTGAAACAAGTAAACATGAATGGAATGACTAAGGAAAGATTGGGTACAAATACAACCCTAGAAACTCTGTACCCCATATGTGCTACCCCGCTATAGCCTACAGCAACTATGTCATATAAATCTGACACACCCCCATAGGCAAAGTGGGGGAGAACAAGGGGTCACAAGACCAGTCAAGTAAAGCAAAGCAGAGCAAGCTCAGGGTGGATCACAACGTCACCACATAGTCCGAGCACAAGAGCAGGGCCAGAGGCCAGTTTACATGCAGGAGTACAGACATATATATATAAAGCTAGACAAGCAAGAGCAGGTATATATATGTCACAGTACAAGTAAAGTCAAGAGGAGAGCAAGTGAGGCAAGACAGGCACAAGACCCAGCTGGGTGCAAAAGCGCTGATGGTCACAAGGCGCGAGTGCCTTGGTGAACACATCAGCAGTGTTGGCCTCAGAGGCCACGTACGCAAGTCGCAACTGACCACGCTGCTGCAGCTCACGAGCAAGGAAGTAGCGGAGAGCAATGTGCTTCGTTCTGTGCTCCAAGCGCTGCTCTCGACACAAGGCCAGCATGGCCTTGTTGTCTACGTACAGCACTGGAGGAGAACGAGGCGGCTCTCCAAGGTCAGTCAGCAGGTAGGTGAGCCAGCGAAGCTCCTGTGCAGCCATGGCCCCGGCGTAGATCTCAGCCTCACAACTGGAGCCGAGAACCGAAGACGAGCGAGTAGACCGCCACGAGACTGAGCCGGAACCAAGGTTGAAGGTGTAACCCTGTGACGACCGCTGCGTAGCCTGGTCGTCAGCCCAAGAAGCGTCAGCGTGGCCGGTAAGGACCACTGGACTCCGCCCTCCAAGCACTAGCCCCATGCCCGACGTACTGCACAGGTAGCGCAATACCCTCTTCGCTGCAGCCATGTGCTCTGGTCTGTGTCTCCCAGGAGCAACATAGCGTGCAAGAATGCTCAGAGGGTATGCAAGGTCAGGTCGTGTGCAGGTCATCAGGTACATGAGGCAGCCAACAAGCTCTGCATACGGACCACTCGACTCTACGGACTCATCCGAAGGCAGAGCTGAGAGTGAGTGGCGAGTAGGCAGAGGAGTGGCCTGAGGCGAGGAGTACGTGAAGCCGAAGCGCTGAAGGACCTGCTGCACCATGTGTGACTGAGTCAAGGTAATGGTGCGGCGTGCTCTGTCCCGGGTGATCTGCAAGCCAAGGTAGCTGCGCAGTTCACCCAGGTCTGTGCACGTGTGTCTCTTCAGCAGCTCGGACTTCACGTAGGCGAGTCCAGCAGTGTCCGCTGTGGCAAAGACCAAGTCGTCGACGTACACGAGGATGTAGAACGGCGGCAGGGAAGTGTCGGTGCGAAGAAACAGCGACAGGTCAGCAGAAGAAGGAGCAAACCCAAGAGCCGCAAGCGTAGTCCTCAGTGTGTCGTGCCACTCACGCGGTGCCTGGCGGAGACCGTAGACTGGCCGTCGGAGGCTCCACTGGGTGCCAGGAGGGAAAGTCCCAGTGAAGCCAGGTGGACGGCGAAGCCAGATCTCCTCGTGCAGGCTACCCTGCAAGAACGCAGTGCTGAAGTCGAGAGAGTGAAGCTCGTAGTCGCGCTGAGCGGCTATGTGCAGCAGCACCCGAAGAGTAGTCATCTTCGGGGTGGGAGAGAAGGTCTGAAAGTAGTCAACTCCCTGCCGCTGACTGAAGCCACGAGCAACGTACCGTGCCTTGAAGACAGGTGGAGAGCCCGGCGGCCGCTTCACCCTGAAGATCCACATGCCACTGACGATGTTCGCCCCAGGAGGGGGAACCGCGTCAACGTAGGTGCCTGTGGACTTCCAGGAAGCCATCTCTGCATCCATAGCTGCCTGCCACTGAGAGGAGTAGGGACCCTCTACGGCCTCCGCGTAAGAACGCGGAGTCGGGATGTCTAGTGCATCCGGGTCTCCCTCAGGGGCAAGCAGTACAGACGCGAGATGAGGTGAAGCAGCCGCTAGACACTGTAAC